TAATATAAAAACTAATACACTTAAGCGCAACAACCAGATAAATCCATGCTCCCCTCAACTTTGACAAACAAATAATACCCCTATTTTTTTTTTTTTTTTTTGTTCAAAGTTTAAAATATTGTGAATAATTATACAAAGAATAATAAACAAACTAAAAAAAAATTATTTTTAACAAGTATTTAGCCTAAAAAAAGAATTTTCTTTGCCCTGGAAAATTTCAAAAAGTGGATTTATCTGGTTGTTGCAGCAAGCCCTTCAATTGCGATGACAAAAATGTAAATTGGCACCGGATACACACAATATCGCCACGTACCATTGAGTTGACGAGTCGCCGCAAGTAATCCACTCGTATTATTTCGGAAACCGCGCGTCCGGCCGGTCTCGAATCAAGAGGTGAAAGTGACTGGTGCGACGAAAACCCTAAGTTCACCGGTGAAATCGCTGAACCCCACCCTAATAGCACAGACCTTCCCGGGTACCGCCTATGTAGTACCCAATTGGTACCTAGCTGGAACCGCCTGATGGGATATATTACAACCTCCCCGGGAACCGTTTGATTAATACCCAAATGATACCTAACCGGAACTTCCTGATGGGAAACATATTAATCGTCCCAAGACCTATACTCAGTTTAGTCCACTAATGTCTAATATTGCCTTTTACTGCCTTATTCGTGTACTGTATAGTGTGTACTTGTCATTTTTCAATAATTGTGTTTACGAAGAATAATAATATACCATTTTCGCGCACGAAGACTATGCTGCCTAACCACCTAGACGATAGCTTCGCCTTCTGTGATTGGCTGACGCCTGACAGTCATCGCGGCAACCGTTGTTGATCGACGGCACCGCGACCGGTGTAATTTTATCGCAAGCCGCCGTTAACTATTTGTGTATTGCCGTGTATACCTACCACGTTTTTTTTCTAATGTGTTATGCGATCGCCGACGTTATTCTCGCCATATTGCAATCGCCGCTCACTGCCATTAAGCATTTTTTAATTCTGCTAGTGTCGAGTAACGTTATTACTTTTCGTCGTTCATCGAATACCTAAGTGCTTTCATCATTACACGTGTTGAGACATCGTCTGATCGCCACCACTCGACTACCTACTCTACACTCGCTGCCAACGGTCTCAAGAACATGATTATTAGTCAAAGAAGTTTTTAATTTTGGTTTTTTCCTTTGTAACACTGTCATAGTGGTCTGTGTTCACCATTGAACAGAGTAGTAATTGTTTGTGTGCTCTTAAAAAAGCATCAAGTAAGTAATAACTATTAAATTATTTAAATGTCTGTTACCTACGTATGTATTTATGCAGTGATCGACTTGGCAAAATTAAAGTAGGGGACTCTGTTTACTTTTAAAAAAATAGCGTCCCCGTCGCTTGTTAAACTTTATTAATTAATAAACTTAATGATAATATTTCTGAAAAATTAGTTGGGGTACTCCCACCAAGTCGAGAACTGTGTGTAATATATTTTGTTGAATTAATGTACATTGAAAACAGTGATAAGTTATGTTAACAGATTATGTATAATGCTGCAGGTGCTAGGTATAGGTACATCAATACTTGGTCCAGTTTATCTGTAATCTATTCATGTATTTATTGTACTTATAATTTCTCAGTAGGTGTAAATAGACAAATAAAGATAGATAGTTTGTTTTTATATAATATAATATAGGAAGGCAATGTAGTTGTATTTATATTACTTGCATAATATTATGTAACTTGAACGGTAATTTGTCATATTAAAATAAATATTTTAATGATTTAATTTTTTTAAATTCCATTCCATATTTTGGAGCACATAATAAGCAGTTATATCCATGTATACTTTATCTTACAACCAAAAATATAAATATTTTTAATAGCATTGTCTTACAATCTCAAAATGTTAGATTATTATGATTAATATTATTCCTTTTTTAAAAATAATATGTAATTTTTAATTAACAATTTTAGAACAATATTACATTTAAAGTAAAATTAAATAGGTAGTATTATCAAATATGTCCTGTTAGGTATACTTAGTATGTATATTCTGGCAAATAAAGCAACATTGGTATTATTCTTACTTTGGTAGAAATATTCAGTAGGTTAATAGAATATTATGTTTATAAACTACCTATAATCACTTAAGCAATGTATTAAGAATTAGGTTAGGTTTGACTTAGTACCAGATTTAGGTATGCAGTAAATGTTGGTTAGGATTTAGATACCTACATACAATGGACCAACTATATGCTAAGTATGACCTAAGGCAAGCTTTCTATTATATTATGTACCTATGTACGTTCTTACAATATTTTTGTTGTTATAACTATAATACATTTATTATTGTTTTACTTTTCAGGATAATTACGTTTATATAACTTTAACAAGTATTCACTATGTCAGACTCTGAAGAAAACGCCCTTGAAAACGCTGAAGTTGTAGAATTAAGGTTTGTATTATGAAATTGATTATTTACGTGCGTATTATCTACTTATAATTAAATTAAGTTAATTTACTTATTGCATAATATATATATTAGGTATCTATTATAGGTCTATTATTATTATAGGTAATTTATTTACTCAATTTGAAATTCAAATTACAATTATTGATCCTTGTATTCTATTAGATTTTGAAATAGGTATGTGAAAGAAATTTAAAAGTCTTGTGGGTTAAGTATTTGTGTTATAATAATAAAAGCACAATTTTTTTTTTTAATTATATTATGCATTAGTTATAAAATATTATCTCCCATTTAATTAAATATTGTAGGTTTGAAATAATTTTTGTTACATAACTAGCAGTGGAATATTTAGGCAAGATACTCCAGCTTAAATTAATATAAAGGGACAACAAGAGTTTTTTTTTTATCATTATTATGTACATTATCATGATAAAATTATAATAATAGAATGAGGATTTAAAAGCTTCTGTTATGTATTCACTTTATTAAAAGTTTAAATCGAACTTCATAAATTAATCCATAGGACTTGAGGAACTTAACAAAATAGCTGCAAACCATGACAAAAAAATATACCTAATCAATATGTTGATAAATTATCTTTTCGGTCATGTTTTGAAAAATGTAATGTTAAACAAATCTCAAACAACAAGAAATTGTTGAAATGTTATCAATGAACATTCCCTTATTTACTAATTAATCGCAGACTTGAGTAAATTGTTTCATCTTCACAATATTTTCTATTTATAATGTTTGGCAAACTGTTAATTTTTTTCAGAATTTATTCATATTTTTCTCTTGGTTTTTATTTTCTATAGAACATTACATCCTCATAACCAAATATCTTCTCGGCAGTTACGACGAAGAGTGCAAAGCCAAATCAAAGCTGTAAAAAGTGTGTTGTTTCCTGATACACATCTATCAATAACCCGAAACCAAAAAAAACATAAGAGTCATGAAATGGCAGTAGAATGTAATACTAATACATTAAATATTAACAACTCATCAAATTCTATACATGCAGTTGGTTCAAACCAAATTATTGATTCATCTATTATACAGCCTTCTCATAGTATTAATTTTCTGAATTCAATTAATGTGTCACAATTTCAAGAAGTTCAACCTATAAGTAATTTTGAATTTGACTTAATATCATTTAAAAATAAACTAGCAGAATGGGCAGTCAATAATGGGATAAGCCATACTTCATTACGTACTCTTCTATCCATATTAAAGACTCACAGTTGTTTCAATGATTTTCCTATAGATTCTAGGACATTATTAAATACTCCTAGAAATGTTAATATAAAAGAAATTAATCATGGCCTTTATTGGCATTATGGCCTTAAAAGAGGAATTTTATCTTTCATTAATAAAAATAAAATATTCTGTAATTCAACCATAATTGAACTTATGATTGGCATCGATGGTTTACCTATAAGCAAGTCTTCGGGGAGTCAGTTGTGGCCTATCCTTGGTTCAATAATAGGCTGCAATGAAGTTTTTGTAATTGGTATTTATCATAGTTATTCAAAAAAGCCAGAAAGTTGTGAACAATTTTTAAGCGATTTCATTGAAGAAGCAATAGACATTGTAGACAATGGTTTATTATATAATAATAAAAAATACCCATTTAAAATAAAAATAATATGTGCAGATGCACCTGCAAAATCCTTTATATTGGGTGTTAAAGGCCATACTGGGTATTCAAGTTGTACCAAATGTTGGGACGAAGGAAAAAATATTGAAAGAAGAATCTGCTTTTCTCATGTCTCTGGTCGAAAACGTACTGATGAAGAATTTGTACTTAAATCAGATAATGACTATCATAATTATTCATGTCCATTAGAACGTATTCCAAATATTGGACTTGTTACCAACGTACCTCTGGACTATTTACATTTAGTATGCTTAGGTGTCATGAAAAAACTTTTAAATTTATGGTGTAGTGATAGATTAAGTGTACGTTTACAATTCAGAAAAGTAAAATTAATTTCTGATAAACTTGAAAAATTGGTTAAACCTTACACACCAATAGAGTTTCAAAGAAAACCAAGAGGATTGATGTTTTTTAGGCAATGGAAAGCAACAGAATTTAGACAACTGTTATTGTATAGTGGCCCTGTAATATTCAAATCTATTCTTTCCCCAGACATATATAACAACTTTCTTGTTCTACACTTTGCCATAACATTATTAATTTCCAAAAAATTTTGCTTTCAAGAAAATTATTTAGAATATGCAGAAAATTTGCTCAAACATTTTGTTGCAAGTTTTAGATTAATTTATGGCAAACATCACGTTTCTCATAATGTTCACGGTCTCTTACATTTAGTAGACGATGTAAGACATTTTGGTCCTTTAGACACATTTAGTTCTTTTCGATTTGAAAATTTTATGCAAAAACTTAAAGTTCTGATTAAAAAAGATGATAAACCTTTACAACAAATCGCCAAAAGATTACAAGAAATTGATATTTATGGAATCAAGTCTCAGCATAATAAAAACATTCAAGTTAAAATAAGTTTGAAAAATAAACATGCAAGTGGTCCAATAATAAATGGTTGCACAATACAATACTCAGTGTTAAAACTCGAAGGCATGACATTTGACATTAATAGTAAAGCTAATAATTGTTGTGAATTAAGAAATGGGAAGATTGTTATTATTGATAATTTTTGTTACAATGAAAAATTTCAAGATAATATTGTAATTGGAAAAGAATTCTTGAATATAAAACCTTTATATACTTTACCTTCTTCATCTTCAAACTTAGGAATTTATGAAGTATCAAAACTTTCACAACAGTTGAGTTGGCCTGTTAAATTTATTATTGGAAAATATTTTCTTTTTCCAATTTCTTATGATCATTTAATGTTTGCTGCTATGCCACTTTTACATATTGATCAAGAAGAGAGACCATATCTTTAGTTATACGTATATCATTATTCAACCCATTACCTATATATTATATACATTTAATTTAATTTTGTAAATAAAAATAAACAATATAATAAGTGAGTATTGGTGACTCAAATAATCAATTTAATTTCAAAGTTGATTAATTGTAATATTACTGTTATTTTCAGAAAGTTTGTTGTTATTGAATTTGATGATCGCAGTATACAATTGGTTCCACGGAATTGGATTAAAGCAGATCAGTCATATTCATATTATCCATATAACCAACATATTAATCCTAAGTGTTATGACAAAATGGTAATACAATGTATACCATACAGTACAGATTGGAAAACATTTAAAATTAGTAAAATATGGGCCTCTTCAGGTACAAATAATAAATATTTTTGATTTTAAAAGCTGTAACTTTTTAAATGACTACCTATATGTATTAGATGATTTCATAAGAGCAAAACAAAAATTAAAAATTGCCGTTGAACTCTCAGAAACAGAAGACATTGAATCAGAGCATGATGCTGCACTTTCTAAAATAAAAAGAAGAAAGCTAGCTGCCAAAAGACATAAATTTAGATCACCAACTAAAGAAAAAAATGTAAAAAAAATATTATCAAAAATTCCTCCATTACCAGAACATCCATTTGAAGCACCAGGTAAATTTATTAATAATTGAAACAATAAGATTAAAGTCAAAATAAAATATAAATGTTTGATTAACTTATAATATTCTAGTTCAGAGATCTTTAAAATTCAAAACATATAATTCAAACCAAACATTAAATGTTAACTCACAACCTCAGGGTAATAATAAATTCAAAACGTTAAAACAAAAAAAAATAACCTCACTACCTCTACCTCAATCAACATTTTATTCTGAAGTCAAAAACACTTATAAGAATGATATACATAAAGAAAATCATGGTAAAATATATTATATACATTTAAACCAACAACTTTTTAATATTATTAATTGTATTCAGGTACATCTAAATCGTTTAGACGTACAGAAAATAGTGATGTTGTAACCTTGAATTCTTCAATTGGTAAAATTAATGTATCTAAAGATGGTGATGAATTGGCACACATTTGGCAACCAGGTAAGTACAAATTTAAATATTTATGTAAAATATACTTAGTAGTTATCTATTGCTCTTTAAATATAATCAAAATTGTATTCAGGTACATCTAAATCATCCAGACATACAGAAAATAGTGATGTTGTAACCTTGAATTCTTCAATTGGTAAAATAAATGTTTTTGATGAATCACCATACAAATATCAACCTGGTAAAATCAAATTTAAATGTATATACTTTGTAGATTTTGCCCTTAAATATAATTTTAATTATTGTATTCAGGCACGTCTAAATCATCTACACACTATAAAGGCAATAGTGATGTTGTGACCATGAATTCTTCAGTTGGTAAAATAAATGTTTCTGATGAATCACCATACAAATATCTACCCGGTAAATAAAATTATTTAAAGATGCATTTTTTGTAGTTTTTACCTATTGCTTGTTAAATGTAATTAATCTTGTTTTTCAAACATACAAATTAATAATAGGTTTAATACAATTATAATTTACTATTTAGATATGGCTAATTATATTACAAATAATAATTGCATTTCTCCAGAAATGTTTGAAAGTTCAACTTATTATAACTATAATGATACTCGAAAAACATCAACTCCATCAGAACTAAATAAAAAAACGGCTGTTCGAAGACTGTTCTCACCTCCAATATCTCCTATGTCTCCAAAAACTAACAAACATAATGGTAATTATCAAATTTTAGTTTAAGTTTAAAATCAATTTAATCATAAGGCATAACGTGTGGATATTATTTTTTTACAGTAAATAACGAATTGCAGATGAAGTATATATCTACATTTGTACCGAAAATAAACATTAAATTAAACAAAATAATGTTAAATCAAGAAAAACACAATGATATGTTAAATGAAATTTATTCAATATTAAGGAAATCACAAAATATGAATGACAGCATTATTGAAAATATAATTTTAACTGGGTTTCCAATTGACAATTTAGCTTCTTTAAATGAAGTAGAGAAAAAATTAAAAAATGACAATGTATTTTACAAACAGTTGGTAAGTTTTTTTTTCTTAATTGGTTTTCTCTGTAATGCACAATTTATATTTAAATTCCAAAATTCCAAATATTGATAGTATATTTCAATATTGTTTGGAATACTTTTAAAAAGCATTTTATTGCAATAAAAGAAATACTTGTTTAATATTACAATAATATTTTTTCCTTAATGTATTTCTTTAAATCAGTGTAAACAACATAAAATTGGATCTGTGTATGGCTCAGAAAGAGAAAACAAATAGTGTAATATGTTAAGATATATTATTGATATACTACAATATTTTTGTTAAATATTTTTAGGTAAAAAAATTACAAGAGATGAGAGGTAATGATTTGTGTATGGTAACTAAATGCATAATGGATACATTAATCACTGATCATTTTGGTAAACAAATGTCACTTACCGGTCGTGGTTCAAATAATAAAAAAGATGATAAAATTGCTCTAAAATGTACTACATTATATAAATTAGTAATGAGTAAGTAGATTATCAAAACATTTTATTAGTATTACTGCATTAGTAAATATAAACTATTATTATTGGGTATATTGTTAAGTTAGGCCCTGGCGTACTTCCCTGCAATGTGCACAAGATATAAATTAAATTGAAAAGAATATGGCTCCGATAACTTAATAATAACTATCATGTTAGTAGTGGCGCGACTAGAATTTTTTTTTGAGGGGGTCGTCTGCTCAGTGTCTTATTTACTATTTTTTTTTTAAGAAAAATTCAATGACTGACAATTTCAAATGGTTATATTATATTTAAATATTATGTATTATATTATCTATTTTACCCACCTTCCCCTTAAAATATTTCTGAATACACCTCTGGGCTCTGGTTTTTGCCAATCATACAATAATGTATGCATTTTTTTGTTTTACTTCTTTATGGGTAATATAGTTGTTTAGTATTAATATTTTATAATATAGACACTGACATAATAGCATTTAAAAAAATACATTCTTTTACTAAATGTTATATGAATTATATGATTACAGTTCTATTTTATAAACTTCTAAATAGGAAATTGTTTTCAGTGTTCATTCCAGATAACATTTATTACTATTGAAATCTTTATTTTTCTATATAATAGTTATTACCACTCAAATATCATTTTCAGGTGTTATTTTAAAAATACACCAGCAATCAAATACAATTCAAATAAACAAAGCAATAACTGGATGGCTGAAACATTGCAAAGAGCGTTGGGAGCGGCAATTAATGGCAAAAAAAAATTGTGACTAATACAATATATTAAATTAGCTTGTATACAATTAATATATTTGTATTATTATATATTATATTATAAATAAAATTATTATATGTTATATTATAAATAAAATTCTAATATAAAACATTTAATTTGAAATATAACAATTTATAAGTACTATTATTGTGATTGTGGTTTGGTGTGGTGCGGAAACGCTCTGAGTGTACGTATATCGGCCGGTGTTGCTAGCTCTCGAATGAATAACCATCCATTTTTATCAACAAATCCTCGCCACACTAACACTCGGGTGCTAAAAAACCTACAGTATCACTGACAAATGAACTCAGTTTTCAAAAAGTTTTAACATATAATAATAAAAAAAAAAAAATACCTACTATTATTATCTATTATTGTATTTTAGATTCTGAGCGAATTTTCTTCAACAGTATCTTTTCTGATAGGAAAGTGAATCTAGTTGGTACTTTGGGGGGTAAAAAGTAAAAATTTCACAATAGTTTTCATAAGCGTCTTAAAAAGCAAATGAAAAATTAAGGAAAAAACGGGAATTTTTACTCAAACCCGATTTTCGACAAAATCGATATTGGTTTTTGGTGTAACTCTGAAAGAAATGATGGTAGATACATTCAATTTTGACTGAACGTTTATAAAAGCATTTTCTATGAACCATAGCATTTTCAAAATATTTTGAGCTGTTTACAGACATTTTCAGTTTCCAATTTTTAAAATTTTTTTTTCTATTATCAATAAAATTGTACTTGTTGGGTAAAAATTCTTGAAAATTTAATAGACGGCTCCTAATACATTGTTTCAAAGGCAGATAAAAAATAATGAACACCTAATTATTGCATGAAGTTGAGGTATTATTAAATAAATAATATCAATGTACTTTGTGACTCTTCTAGACCTAAATAGGTAGCATAATAGACCATTATGGGCATATTTTAGGATGTATAAAAAATATATCCTATCTGGTTCCTGTCGGGTAGGTCTCATGAATAGTCTCAAAACGGACATTAGGAAGTCTATAGACCCTCCCCAGACTCTACCGGAAGCATATAGGCCCTTTATATTTATGGTCCGCCAGTCTCAATAGACCAGCCTGCGACCTACCTAGGAAGGTCCTTGTGCTATTAGGGCACATATCTTTCTAAAAACAAACCCCCTCCCTTAATTTAAATTAATCATAGATCCTCCAGGGCTAACGAAAAACGCAGCTACCTGCCCTAAAGGAGCTACTCAAGGACGGGTAAAAAAGGCTCGTACGGTCTTGACACAAGTCGCCGAACTTAATCACTGACTTCCACACTATAGGAATCACAAAGTTAAACCTAACCTAACGTTGAACGTTCCGCAGTTCCAGAATTTCTCCTCCACCTTTGACAAATTACCACTTATTGTGCTCCAGATCCGGTCCAGTGTCGCCACAACTGTATGGTACTCGGGCAACGCGTCAGCCTCCATTGTCTTTCTTACGAATAATTCCCCCAAAAATTTGGCCTCTGGTGACAGATCAAACCCCTTGGGAAAAGTCTTGTTCTCATACACGTAGGAATTGACAATTGATTTGAACAGTTGCCGGAGGTTTTTCTGGTAATTTATGCTTGTGGACTTAGTCTGGCCGATATCTTCTCGCCTTAGTATAAAAGTAAAATAAAATGTTAAACGAATATCTCATTTCTACAAACTTCAAAGGGTCACTTACAATTTGAAATATTCAATATAAATTGATGCATCAGCTGTCACCAGGTCAGCCCAATGTGTCGGAGGGGTCTTTAGGTCCAACAACCGCTGGTGTACAAACCACAAGACCCTCGACACATTGGCCACGTAGTTATTCACTGCGTCCGACTCCGGCCCGTGGCTCATGCTCAACGTAGCTTTAAACATTCTTATAAGCGGATGGTTGTTGGGGAGCTGGTCGTTCAGCCCCTGTGAGACTGCAAGCTTGCGCAGATTCCTGAAAGAAATAATAATAAAACGTTAACCGGACGTCAAACACAAAGTTTTTACAAGTCAATAATACTCACGGTCTGGGCGTTCTGGGCGAGGGCACGGTGGCCACCTGACACGACGGCACCGGCGGTGTCACCACACGAGCTGACGCTCCCGAGGTCCCCGGTCTCTGGTATCCTGCCGGGCCCGCTGAGGTCTCCGGCCTATGATTCACGTCAGGTCCCGCCGATGTGCTTTGCAATTGATAGTCAGGAGCATCTCCATCGCTCCGGTACAGGCCGACGAAAGGATTGGGTGGATCCGTAACCCCTGAGAGGTTCCAGGGCCCAACGTAAACCTTCATGCGGCCCATCACTGCGAGTCTGAAACGGAAATTAATCAAATTAATAATCAAATCAACGAGACTAAAAAGCACTAAGAGTTTGCACAACTCACTCGTGAACGATGCTCCTGTAGCACCGGTCATCCTAGTAAGGACCGATTTTTTTTCAGTGCTCTCGTGGGCACGACGGAAAAAGAATTGCGGGACTCCGCCGCTATGATGTCGCAAATCTTTTTCCTGCTCGCTTCCCTGGGTTTTGTCAACAATGCCCAATGTTTAGTGTCCACGTGCCGGCCTAGCTTGTGGCCGACCGTTGTGAAATCACACATAGGGCAGTATTTCACCATCTACAGAAGAAAGACCAATGTTTAATAACGATAACGATTCGGCTAGACGTACAGACATACCTGTGTTTCAATGGAGAGCGCCTGCTTCTCCGAAACATTCATTCGCTTGGGGTGGAGTGCGCGCTCGTCGTCCGAGTCGTCAACTTCGGCCACTCGTCGCTTCGAAACTGTCACCGACGATAATGGGCCCCTCGGTTGAACTTCGAATGCTGATACTGGCCTTGGCTTTTCGTCTTGGCTGGGCTCCATCCATGGTCGGCCGCGCATTTACCACAAGGGCCTGTGACCCATCAATGTCGACGGGCAAGAACTTCAATGTTTCTGACACCAGGCCCTTGGCCCACACAGCAATTTAACATTAATTAATGTTTATTTAAGATTTAAAATCCAATATTGAATGTTAAATAAATTTTTAAAATAAATTGATTTTTGATTTTTTTTATATTTTCCCAATGTTGCAGGTACATTAGTTGAACCAAAAGTAAATCATGAATGCTAATTGAAAGTAAAATATTTTATAATCATTACATTTCAATATTTATTAAACATTAAAACTAATGTTGTATATTAATTTATATTTAACCAAAGTTGGAGATATATTTTAAGTTGAACCAAATAAATGTTTAATTAAGCTTAAAATTAAATATTGATTAATATTTATTTTCATTTATCCAGTATTGGTCAAATGTCATCATTCAAAAAGGTAAACAATATTGTATTGTAAAATTTTAAAACTAAAAATAATTTATTAATTATAAATAATAATACAACAAAAAACACATTATTAGAATTTATGCGTTTATTCAAGTAAAAATACAAAATAACAATAATAAATATTATATAATATAATATTAATATACAAATAATAACATTATAATAATATAACCATCCAATTATTGGTATACTATCATATATATTTTTAAAGTATATATAATATTATTAATATGCTATAGACTGCAGAGCTGAGCTAGAAGACTGTTTGTTTGTTTTAGTAGTTAAACGTTTTAGGTTGAATCCCACACAGCATTTGTCAATCAAAACAATTGTATAAATATTAAATTTGAATTGGATTTAAAATATTTAAATTTAAAAGTTAATAAATTATTGATAACATATTTTATTTTTAACCTTTTAATCAAAATATTGTATAGTTACGAATAAATATTGGTTTAACAATATTTAATTTTTAAAGATGATTCAAAATTGAATAAATCTTAAAATTTAACATTTAATTAACATGACAAAATAATAATTTATTTTTGGTTTAAAACTCATTATTTATTCATTCTTGAATATTGATATTTTATTTTTATTTTCTATTCGTTGAATAAAATATATTTTATTTCCAATGTCAATTGGAAATTAAATATATCTTATGATGTAACATTAAATAAATAAACTATATTAATATTTATTTTTTGTTATTACTAATAATTTATTCAATATTTATAATTATTATTTTATTTTTATTTTTTATTCATCAAATAAAATATATATTATTTTCAATGGAAATTGCAAATTAAATTCAACTTAAAATGTAACATGAAATAATTAATATACTAAAAAATATGTATTTAATCTTTACAATGTTTATTATTTTATTTTAATCTGCATTAATAATAAGATTACAATGGTATACTGCATTATTGCGCTTAGCAGCTATATATATAGTGGACAATAAAATAATAATAGATATTCATATACTAAACCACTTTCATTCAATGAGTATTTCATTACAATTAATTGGTGTTTACAAATTAAAGATTTTATTAAATCAGATCATCATATAAAATATGGAATACCTAACTTTGATATATTTTTACTAAATCTGTTAATAAAAATTAAGCTCTCATTATGTTGTAATAATAACTTAAAAGAAGAATCAGCAATAGATTTTGACAAATTATTGTCAGTATAAAACTTATATTATATAGATATACATAACACAAGTTTAAAAGGAGTAGGTATAATATTTCCATCACAGTTTAAAACCATAACTACATATTGTTAAACCACTTTTTAAAATTGAGGATAAACAAAATATAATAAATAATTAAGTACAAACCAAAACCGTACGTTAGTCAGGTTAGGTTATAGGTAACGTTAGTCAGTAATTTTGCAAAGATTCTGCATGAAAAAGATTTAACAACAAGTAAAGTGTTTAAACATTTTTAGAAATAATAATAAACTGCTTTTGAAAAATCGATACTGTTTTAGACCAAAATTAGTATGATGCTTTATTATACATCATGGCATCAAAATATATATTTATGATGCACTTGATAAAGGCTTAAAAAAAACTATTGTTGTATTTCTAGATTTTGTAAAAGTATTCCGCGATATACCTATACTGCAGTTGATTATCATTAAGAATTAATAAATATTATGTCTGCTGTGTTTGGAATTATTTAATAAAGTTTTAAATGGCAGTTTTCATAATAGCTATTTGGGTGATTGAATTCAGAAGATTAAGTACCTACCCCAATTTTTCTACATTTTAATGTATGTATACCTGTCACATGAGTATTATAATAACTATTTCACATCCTCACAGGACAGATTTAAAATTTTATAAAATTTTACATGATAATTATCTTGGCAACTAAATTATTATTCTGTGATGGCTGCAACAGGAACATTTTATCGAAAAAAATATTGTAATTATCACAGTCACAAACGATATAAGCAGTGCTCGAATTGGAAAAAATTAAGTAGAGGAGCTCAATCTAACGATTTAAAAACTGCGTTCCAATGGCGCACCTATTCAACGTACATCATACAAAATATAGTAGGGGAATGCAAAAAAAAAAATTTAATAGTAGGGGAGCTCCATCTCCCTGCGCACCCCCCCAATTCGAGCACTGGATATAAGTATGTTATTATAGTACACTTAACACTTAAATGTGCTAATAAGACTAATAATAACCAATCTAAATTATTTACTTCACACTTTCACAGTTCTAACTTATAAAATGATTGATAATAAATGTCATATATAAGATATGGATTGCTTATGCTTGAGTTTAAAAAGGCTGGGAAATGCTTAAAATTGGTTGGAAAGTTAAAATATTATTAGTATAATATAATATGCAATTTATAATTTGTTGAGTATAGGATTATAGAGATCGATCTAGACAAAAATCACTACATTGCTTTTAGTAATAAGTATAATATTATAATGTAGTACATACAGTACGCTGAAAGTCAGCATTATATTATAATATACAAGTGACCTATTGGTCATGTTATAGCAAAACTTATGGCGTGATTTAACAAATAGCGGGAAAACAATGATGTTGTTATTATGCACATTTCGTTGATGTTACTTTTTAGTTATTAATTTTTATTTTTTATATACAAAATTAATTAATTATATTCATTATTCAACACAATTTTCTGAAAAAATAAATATTCGATTATTCGAACATTTTATGATTGATAAGGTGATATGAGTCAAAAGTGATAAAGAAAAATCGACGACGAGTGACGACACAATATCACTGAACCGCGATAAAGAAAACTATAACTGGTATAATATTATACTTTATACCTAAATCATAGTTCAGTGCTGCAGCAGCTGCTGTCTACCATTTAGCGCTAACTCTAGTGGACAAAATCGGAAACTTAAAGCGTATTGCCGTATTGTTAGAATTTCATAAACGGTGTGTTTAAAAATAATTTTATTGTTTTGCTTTGCGAAGACGAGTTTGGGATTTTACAAGTGTATATATCGACTATCGTGCATACCGCATTACTGCATTACCGCATTTGGTTTGATATTTCTAAAACTATACCTACTCTGAGTACACGTGTACACATGGTACCATACATATATTTAAATATTTTATGACTACAATTTGGTTAGGTTATTAAGTTTGTCCAGTGTCCACGTTATTGTGTGAAGTGTGTAACAGTCCAGTACGAAATGTCTCGCTAAAGTCTTGTTTTGTGTAGTGTTTCATTGTTGTCCGTACGCAGTACGCACTACTACACTATATACGTAAGTATACAAACGTAAGTATTTGTATTTTGTACCTATATTGATAATTTTATAAATTATAACCAATGGTATTAGTAATACATTAATATTTATTAACAGTTATTTATCTTGTGTGTAGTAATATACTACTTTTACTCACGTATACCTATTATAGCTGGGCTTTTACTATGGCACAGTTCAATAAAAGCGATATTAGTAAATCTACCAAGCGCCGAAGATTTTTATTAGATAAAGAAACTGTAGATTTTTTTTCCGATAGCCATATAAATTCTCAATTGCAATTACAACCTAGCACATCTCAAGATATTAATGCTGATTTACCTAAAGAAATTCTAAAACTACCAAAAGATGGTATTGATGATAGTATAATTTCAAATAATATGAGTTCTAATACGCAATTTTCTCCCATTCCTTGCAATTATTTTCCAATCAATCACAGTATTGATGATGACTACAGTGATACTGAAAATATTTCTCTAAGTACCAACTCTGATGATGAAAATCTTGATGAACATTATTATAATAGTACCACAGGTGGCATTAATAACTTGGATGGTAAAAATGAAGTTCTAAAAATATTAGCACAATGGGCAATTGCTCAAAATATTACTTTAACTGCATTTTCAGCTCTGTTGAAATTACTGAAAAATCATAGCTGTTTTAGTGATATCCCAGTTGATGCCAGAACAGTATTAAAGATTAATAATGTCCATAAACCTAATGCAATTCAAGTGGTTTCCCCTGGGTTATACTACTATTTTGGAGTTGCTAATGGCTTGATAAATACGTTAGGTGAGTTTATAGGTAAATTTGGAGATTTTATTCATATCAACATTGGGATTGACGGTCTACCGCTAACCAAATCATCTTCTAGTACTTTCTGGCCAATCTTAGGATATGCTCGGTACCCAAATTTAAAACATGTATTTTTAATCGGTTTATATTGGGGGAAAGATAAGCCCCATAATAGCAATACTTTTTTAAAAGAAATGGTTTCTGAGCTTAAAGAATTGTACAAAAATGGAGTACAGACAGTTTTTGGGAAAAAGTCTGTTGTTGTTGATGCCTTTTGTTGTGATTGTCCTGCCAAAAGTTATGTTTTATCTATTAAAGGTCATGCAGGATATTCTTCATGTACAAGATGCCATGTTGAAGGTGAACGGGTTAATAATACTACATGTTTCTTAGGGACAAATTTTTTAAAAAGGACTCATATAGATTTTATTAATCGTTCAGATGAAGATCATCACGTTACTGATACTGTTTCTATTTTAACCGAAGTACCAGAAATAGATATGGTTAATAACTTTAGTCTTGACTATATGCACTTGGTATGTTTAGGTGTAATGAAAAAGATGTTATTACTTTGGTTAGGTGTGTTTAAAAAATCGTCTGTCTTGGTTCGCCTTCCTAGTAAAGATGTAAATAAAATTTCTAATCATTTATTATCCATGAATCCATTAATACCTAGCGATTTTTCTCGAAAATCCAGAGCTTTAAATGAAGTTAGCAGATGGAAGGCAACTGAGTTCAGATTATTTTTGCTTTATACGGTTCCTATTGTTTTGAAAAATGTTCTGAGGTACGATTGTTATTTTAACTTTTTATGTTTACATATAAGTTTTAGGATTCTTTTATCTCCAAATAGTTCTGAAAAATTTGTAAATTTTAGTCAAAAACTATTGGAACATTTTGTTGAAAAATTTGATGAAATTTATGGTGCACAGTACGTGTCTCATAATGTTCATGGCCTATTACACATCACTGATGATTATAGGAAGTTTAAATCACTTGAAGAATGTTCTTGTTTTCCATTTGAAAATTTCATGAAGGTGTTAAAAAAAATGTTAAGGAAACATGAAAAACCTTTAGAACAAATTATCAATCGTTACCATGAATCCTTAATATTTAATAAACCTGATATTCAAGACAAATCTAAAAATGAAATTATTTATAAAAAAAAACATAATAATGGACCTTTATTTGAAAATTTAACTTCTCCTCAGTTCCAAATAGTTTTAAAAAATGAAATTAAAATTAATGTCAAGTCTATGTCTGATAACTATATAGGCTTTCAAGTTGATAAAAAACTAATGATTTTTAAAATCTTTAATATTTGCTATAATCCTATAAATAATAAATCTGTATTTTTAGCCAGACGTTTTGAATTGGTGGAACAGTATTTTGATGCACCAATTGACAGTCTTAAATTAGGCATAGCTATTGTTAACAATTTATCTGAATCTTATTTTACTATAGATATAGAGAGTACACATTTTATTAAGTATATTATGTTTTTTGATTACGAGAACAATGTTAATATATCATATCCTATTTTACATTCCACTGATGAAATTTAAAATATAATTTTTAAATTATCTACTACATCTATATTCTATATATCAATACATATAGTTATTCTTTAGAATAGTGTATATAATATGTATATTAAAAATAATTTTAAATATATTTTATATTGTTGTTAATCTGTTTAAATTTAGTAGTAAGTGTGTTATTATAATGATTGCATGTAGTTATATAGCTTATATTATTTAGTTTACATATTTTGTAGTGATGATTATGTTTTTTAGAGGAAGCTAAAAATGTCCAACAACTATAGTATAATCGTATTTACTGAGGACAATACAGTTGAAGCAGTTCCTACTAGTTGGGTAAAAAAAAAAGATGGAACTTGTGCATGGCCAACTACTAAAAGTAGAAGTGTAATTATGAAACTAATTGAAAAAAAAAGTGTCCCCAATGAAATTCAATTTAAATATTACAAAGCAATAGTGATGAAAACTTGTGGTAATTACTATAATATTAATAGCTTTTACACGTTTTTATTTAATTTAAAATTTAATAATTAAGGCAATCAGTGCGTATATATATATATATAGGATATAATATGTAATTTGGAGTGGCAAGTTAGAAGTTAATTTTTCTCTACTTCCTTTAAAAATATATTTTTAAAGGAAGAAAATATGTAGAATTAATCTGCTTTACAGTTAAATAAATAAAAAAAAATATTGTCAGAGATTAAATAATAATTAATTAAAAACTAACATAAATAATTAATAATTGTTACTAATACTGCAGTTGTAGATCGAATCTATATATTCCATTATATATAATAGGTTAGCAATTATTAAGTTCATGATTCTATCCCTTTAGACTTAACTCCAAGTTACATTAGTTTCTAACTAACATTCATTATATTACAATAATATATTACTATAATTTGTAATTTGTTGGCCATATATTATAATTGTATACACTAATACGCTTAAATTACTTAAAATGTATAAATATTATACATATAATATAACATTAAAGATCAAATATTTAACATATTAAAGTTTCTACTGTGAATAATCTATAGAATCACTTACTAATGCCCGAAAAATGGCAGAAAAGGGAGAGACGAACATAGACATATCGTCTACTGATGAAAGTGATATGATGAGAAACAAGAAAAAAAAACCAAAACTGTTATTGGACTGTAGTGATCCTTCTTTATCGTGCCCCACGTATTCTGGTATGATGTATTGATGCTTTTTTTAAATTTAAAAAACTATAAAAAAAACTTGTCATAAACTTGTATTTTATATTAGCTTCTGATGATGATTCTGAAAATGATATGAAGTCAAAATCGCATAGATTAAAGGGATTATGGTCACCTCCAAGTAAAAAGAAATGTAAGTTTTTGTTTTATGCTGATAGAGTAAAATGCATGAAATTAATTATAATTTCAATTGCTTTTGCATAAATTACTTTTATGTTACTATAATAGTTAAAAGTCAATCAGAACCTCAAGAATCAGCAACATATTCTACATATTCTGATGTGAATATAATAAAATCATCAGCAGTTCGAAGAATTTCTTATAGTGATTCCGATAGAAATGAAAATATAGGTGAATTTTGATTATTATATGTACTTATATTTCTTATATTAATGACTAATGTGTTTCATAAAATACAATTGTATGGAAATGATGTAAGGAAATGTAAATATTTGCCAAGGTATTCATACTATGGTCTGTTTGTACTTAAAAAAATGTAATGCATTACTAATACAATATATTGGTAGATGTGTATATAATTAATATTAATACAATTGGTACTATTCTTAGTATAATATTAATTGGAATGTATTATTATTAATTTTGCTTATATAAAAACTTCAGAAATAACTACAGAATCATCCTTACTGAAAGATATTGAAAATGACAGCAGTATTCAACCCATAAACATGGAATTTGTTGAATTGGATAGACTATTAAATAATGATGATGATATTGATTATTCTAATGATTACATCACCATTGGTGCCAATGATAGCAGTGTACTTGATAAAAATACAACAGCTGCAGGTGCAGTTACATCTGTAACACCTTCAGGTAATCTTATTAGAAATATAGGTTATTATAATTATATTAAAACACATTAATATGAAATATGATGTTTTTTATGAAAATTAAATATCATCTTTAGTATAAATTATGTTGTAGAATTAAAATTTTTTTTGCTGGATTAAAATATAAAATTATGTATCATAAATCATTAATATAATTATTTTAAGGTGTTATAAATATGACTTATAAGTTATATATAGGTATATGAGGTGAGATGTAAAAGAATTTAATTAATTCATTATTACTCATACATTTATCAATATATATATAATTTTTTATATACTATATAATAATTATATAGAATACAATTTAAATATTTATTTATTGTACATATATATATATATAGAAGTGGTCTCCATATTTCGAGGCACTTAAAATGAGAACACATATATTTTTAGACCATTTGTGCATTTGATTATAATTTTAAACTTTAATATAAAAACACACTGTTCAAATAAATTATTTTCTAATATATAAAATATGAATAATAGATTAATTTTAATTGATAATCATCATTGCATAATATAATTGTATGTATATATATATTTATTTTTATAGATAAACAAAGCTCCACTGCTAAACAACAATTGATGATCATGAAAAATGGAAAACAAGAATTGAAATTTAACACATCACCGATAAACCCTGGTTATAGTCTATATTATATTTATTATTATTTAAGAATTTATATTTATAGTTAAATTTTAATACAAATACGAAATTTCTCATTCTTACATAATTAAATACAATTTATTATTAATAACTATTTAATTTTGAAAATAATTTATTTTTTCTTTCAGATACAGAATTTCAAAAAGAAGTCCTATATAAATTATCATTCATCAAACATGAACTAAGGAGAATCATGAGCAACCAAATGGAATTGGGCCAAAGAATGGAGAATTTGCAGGAGACTCAAAATATCAGTAATATGCAAACAGCTGCAGCTAATAATAACGAAAACTTAAAAGATATATCTGGTTTACCGTTGAACACTATCTCAGACTTAAATGAATTTAATCAGAAATTATCTGAAGATGAAACATTTTGTAATAATGTGGTAAGTAAACAGTATATCTATATGGCTATATATAGAACATAATATGGGTATGGGATTTTTGGGTGCTACTATAAAATACATAATATTTAATGTTGGTATATAATAGCTATTGTCTAAAGATTGATAATGACGTGTAATATTGGTATTTTTTAAAATCTGTTCTTATTACTATGTATAATATTATACACAATTATATTTTTATTCATTAACCAAAGTTTAAAAATTTAACCTATCCAGTCATTATTATTATACTTTTATCACTATAGATTGACTGTCAAACTGATCAACATACATGGTATATTAATTTTCTAAGCATATTTATATTTTTTAATATGTACCTATAGTGTACCTATGTGTACCTATAATAGTAATATATATAGTAGTATATATGATGATATATTTTCTTTTGTATTGTAGATAAATCAACTAACATATATAGGAGGAAAACATTTTAAGGCAATGATAAAAAGAATAATGGCTAAACTTTTTACCGATGAACTCTTAAAATTGTTTTCATATTCTGGTAAAAAAGGAAAAACCAAATTTTCTGACCAAATGATTTGTCCTATTATTTTTGGTAAGATATGAATATAATATAATATATTATATAAAATATAACATAATATATATGATGTTTATATTATATTATTGCTGTACATAATTTTAATATAGTGTAATTAAAATTATTTATCAGATGCTGTAAGAAAACAATCCAAATTTAAAAATGTAACTCAGAATGAAATGGAAGAAGTAGTTAAGTATGTCCTTGCCCAAGCTCCTTTCAACATCAAAAGACTTAAATGATTATTAAAATTTTTTTTTTTATTGTTTTTATTATAATATATTACTAATACAAAAAGTGTAAATTTTTTTTTTAATTTTTATTGTTTCATTATTAAC